TTTTTTTGTTTTATTCTCTGTCATATCCCAAGTGCCTAGAGCAGTGCCTGACACATATAGGCACTCAAAACGTTATTTTTTGTGGAAAAATAGTTATGTTGATGAGGCAGAACTCAATCTATGTGTTTGATTTGTTTTTTTTTTTAATCTCTTTTTTTTTTTTTTTTCTGTTTTGGCTTATACTCTTGTTCTGTTGGGGTACATTCTCTAGTAGCTTTCTAAAATAAGGTTAATGGAAAGTAAATATTTGCACCCCTGCATATGTGCAAATATTTTTATTTTACCCTTATACTTGTTGGATAGTTTGCTGACTATAGAATTGAAAGTTTGAAGTTATTTTCCTTCAGAATTTTGAAGAAATTTCACTTGTTTTTTAGCTTACAAACATTATTCTCGATAAAGCCAAGGCCATGCTAATTCCCATTCCTTTATTCTTGTTTCTTTCCTCCAAAAACTTCGAGTCTTCTCTTTACTCTTAATGTCCTGACTTTCTTAATAATGCGCTTTAATGTAGGCCTTTGTTCAATTCACTGTGGATACCTGAGTGAATCGTTTAAACATGGAGACCCTTGTCCTTCAGTCCTGACATAATTTCCTGAATTATTATTTTGATCATTCCCTCCCTGCTGATTTTTTTGCTCTCTTTTTCTGGAACTCTTAGTTTGTGGGATGGATGGATAGATCAACGAGAAAGTTTTCCGAGTACTTTTAGGAGCAAAAAGCTTATTAAACAATAAAGCACGGCATATCAGACCATATCTTTAAAGCCAAACATTTTATTTTAAATCATCAAAATTTTCAACACAGTATTTCATTACAATTTCCCTTTGTGCACAAATACAGGAAGCGCTGGTTCTCTGTAGGAAGAAATCCTTTATTCAGGTTAGGCATTCCTTATTATTGCACTGGAATTCACCAAGTACCTAGTATGGACTTGGTATTGTATTTAACATTTGCACTCACAAAGTAATCACCTAAACAGAAAGGTGGGATTTTTGGTTTTGTTTCTGTCCTTAAGTGGAAAAATGGAAAAATGTTTGCAGTCCTTTTGAGTTGGCATTAAACACTGATTGCAATTCTCTTACAGCTATAAAAAAGAAATCTTTGCAGTCTTACCTGGAGTTAGACGGACTTTCTCGAGGTCATTTTCAATCCCGATATGTAATTATAGATATGGAGGAAGAGAAGGAAGAAAAGCAGATTCCTAAAAGAGGTGTATGTACCAGAGCTAAACACAGCAGAATGTATTTAAGTATACCCCACGCTCCCAAAGTGTCTGCAAGTGTAGGAAAACTGAGTCCACGTAGATAGGTGGATTTTTCCCCTTACTCGCCTCACTGGGCCCGTTTCGCGCACTTAGAACTCGGCGCACGCCGCAAAGCTCTCCCCGCGCAGGCGCAGAGTAGGGATCCGGGATCCTCGTCCCCACACCGCTACCTTTGGAGTTCAGCGAGTGCCCCCGACTGCACCCAGCGGAGACGGAGAATCCAGGGCCCGCTGAACCAATCAGACACCCGCCAACCGGCTGCGTAGAGGAACTTTCCGAAAAGGAAAACTTTTCCATATTCGGAGAAGGAAGAAGACAAAAGGAGCGCCACTGGCTCCCTTGCCCCTGCGCCCTAGCCCCGGCAGAGTCGGACAGACAGCGGGGGCCGCACGACGCTGGCAGAGGAGCGCACGGTTCTAGGACCTGAGCCTGCCCCAGAGGCCGCAGACCGGCCGTCCCTTGTGATCGCCGCTGACGTCACCTGAGAAGTTTAGGAAGGGGAGGAGCTTGGCGGCGGGGCGCGCCGAGGAGGGTCTAGTCTAGGAGAGGAAGCGCCTCCTCGCCGCGGCGCAGCAGACCAGACTCTAGTTTCCAGAAAAGTGTGCTGAGGCCCAGGAAAAAAAACCGGTACGGCAGGGTCCGACGGCGGCTGGCGTGGGCCGTCCGGGAATGGGCGGTCTCGTGACCTAGTGTCTGGGGGCAAGAAGGCCTCGCCGTCCTGCTCGCACCAGGGCGGACCCAAGCGCAGGCCTGGGAGCCGCGGGAGCGGAGGGAACACCCGGAACGGGCCGCCGGCCTGAGCGCCCGCCCCCCCCCCCCCCGCGACCATGAACGGGGAGGCCATCTGCAGCGCCCTGCCCACCATTCCGTACCACAAGCTCGCCGACCTGCGCTACCTGAGCCGCGGCGCCTCGGGCACCGTGTCGTCGGCCCGCCACTCGGACTGGCGTGTTCAGGTGGCCGTGAAGCACCTGCACATCCACACCCCGCTGCTCGACAGGTAGGGCGCCTAATTCGGCTGCACCCCATCCCATGACATCTGCCCCTGGCAGGCGCACAGTAGAACCCAATCGGCAGTGACCACCTGGGGTTGGCCCTACCCCTCGTCACTTCTGGGCTAGCCCTTCAAAGCTGGGGGCTGGCAGGGTGGGAAAACCCAGCTTCTCTCGAGGTGCACAGTTGGAAATCGTGCGCTCATCTCCTCTCCGCTGCCTTTTCTCTGCGTCCCGCCCTTCCTCCCTCCTACTCTCCTAGACGTCCTCCGTACACCAGAAACCTGCCATCACAGCCTAACTCTAAATGCCCAATTTATTGAAATTGATGTGTTTATATAGTGGATTTGTTTTTCTCTTGTTTGTTTTTTTTTTTAAAGTGGGCTCTAGGGCTGCGCTGTCCAATAGGTAGTTATTAGCCACAGGTGGCTATTGATCTGTCCTATAGGGCTATGAGTCAGAATCGACTCGATGGCAAGGGGTTAGTTTGGGTTTTTTTGTTGTTGTTTTGTTTTAACATTAGTTTCTCTTTCCAGAGAAACATAGTAACCTTACTGTCAACCTGTGACTGTGTATTAGTCAGTGGGTCTAGTCACTAGACCTGTGTTCTGTCCTCCCCAGAGGGATTTAACTAGTCCCTGCATTCCGTTCTCACTGGGTTAGCATTCAGGATTGCAACATTATATTCTCCTCCCCCTGTATCTAACGTGAAAATGCTGCATGCCTGATTGACCAGAAGTTGTTAGTATCCAATATCAGATACCTTCCTCAACTTCAGCCCTGCCAGTGTTACCGCGCTTTCATCTGCCGGTGGCTTTTCTTTGCTGTCTCTGAACTACCGGGCTTGAATGGACTAGATCTCTCAGTAGATTTGAGACAGTTTTGGAGATTGTTCCCCCCTTTTTGTATACTGTAGTGCACGTCCAGTGATGTACAGAGTGTGGTGTCTGTTTACACTAAGCCTTGAATTCTGTGGGGCAAGTGCTGGGCAAGTGGGTGTAGTCAATTTGAAGGGTGGTGGTTGGTCCGAGGGTGGATATATTCTATGCAGATGTTATGTGGAACTCTAGCACTGATGGACCCATTAAATATTTTAAAGCAAATCAATCCTTCTTCTGTTTTGGGTACTGCTTCTCAAGATTTTAGTTAATCTAAAATCTTGTGCCATTTGAGGGGCCAAGGAGTGAAGAAAGAGTTCCCTTTCCATACTCATTATACAATTTTTATAATCCAAAGTTTTTTACGAAATTGGGTAGAAAACGAATTCTGTCTTCTAAGAAGACGTAAGGAACCCTGGTAATACAGTGGTTAAGTACTTGACTGCTAAGTGAAAAGTTGTTGGTTCAAATACACCCAGCACCTCTGCAGGAGAACGACCTGGCAATCTGCTTCTATAAAGATTACAGCCAGAAAGACTCTATGGGACAGTTCTGCTCTGTCACACAGGGTAACTATAAGTCAGAATCTACTCGACAGCACCCAACAATAACAGGAAACCGTAAAAAGTAGTGAAACACTTTTAGCCCACTCTGGCATTACAGTATTACTTTCTTTTCTGTCACTTATTATCTAAAATCTTAACATCAATAGTGTTTATGTAGTCTGGGCATAGGGCTAGGCCATGCCGTTGACTCACAGTGTGTGCATTTCCTCACTTGTAAAGTAGGATTAGTAAATACATGTACTTCTTGGGCTCTGGCATAGATAATGTTTGCATTGTTCTTTGGGATCACCTCAAAAAATTTATATCGATGTTACATGTTCTTACTTTTGTAATTGGTGAGTCATTCTCCATAACCTGCCTTCTACCCAATGAGGAGACCTTCCTGAACAATCTTCCCACACAGTATGAGTACCAAACAAACTGCTGTTGAGTCAATTACAACTCATGGCAACCCTATGTTGTCAGAGTAGAATTTTGTTCCATGGAGTTGTCAATGGCTGATTTTTCAGAAATAGATCTCCAGACCTTTGTTCTGAGGCACTTCTAGATGGACTCAAACTTCCAACTTTTTGGTTAGCAGCCTAGCGTGTCAACCATTTGTACCACCTACAAACTCTACATTATGAGTGGAGCCCTGGTGGCATAGTGATTAAGAGCTCAGCTGTTAACCAAAAGGCCAGCAGCTCGAATCCAGCAGCTACTCTTTGGAAACTCTATGGGGCAGTTCTGCTCTGTCATATAGGGTCACTATGAGTAGATGAGTCCAGTTGGTTGTTCACATACCCTGTAGACAATATAACTGGTTTTTGACTGAAATTTTCAGTTGATTAATTTTGATGTCTGTAGAATCTGTATTTAAAATTTTTATTTTTTAACTATTTCTAACATCAATAGCAGTGTAAACCTATTTTTAAAATATTTTTGCTTTTTCTGTTTTCTCACTTAATCTTTCCAAAATTTGATTTCAAGAACTTTTAGCAGGTGGGTGGAAAGAACAAAGTAGAAAGAACACAGGCTTTGGAGTCCTGTGACTGAAATTCAAATCTGACTCCACTTACTGTGGATGTGGTCGTTAGGAAATTATTAATTTATCTGCGCCTCAGTGCCATCATATGTAAAGTGGGGATAAAGATAACTTTGGAAGGTTGTTGTAAGGATGGTAGTGCACATAAAGTGTCAGGCACATCATAGGGTCACAATAAAAGAAAACCAAACCCATTGCCACAGAGTCTATTCCAACTCATTGTGGCTCTATAGGACAGAATAGAACTGCCACATTTAAGGTTTCCAAGGCTATAAATCTTTACAGAAGCAGATTATCACATCTTTCTCCTTTGGAGCAGCTGGTGAGTTCAAACTGCCAACCCCTTGGTTAGCAGCTGAGTGCTTAACCACTGCTCCACCAAGGCTCTTTAGGATCACAATAGATGGAAGAATACTTCCTACTCTTAATTGGAGGAGCAGAGAGTATGTTTAAGTCTTACTGAGACTTCAACAGCATGCCTTCTATAGTTCGTTCTCAGTATCCAGTAATCTTTTAGTCCATTCCTTGTGTCTCCCTACAGAGGTGCTGCGCAATAAATGTCTTGTTCACTTACATTTCTTGAGGCAAATATAGAACTGTTTCAAGTTAGAGAATGTAAGTTTAATTAAGTGGGTCTCAAAAACTGATATAATTCGTTTCCTCACAGTTGGGGTATTAAGTGACTAATGGACAGAAGATTGAGAGAAGAAGCTTTTCTATGTATTCCCTCTTACAACTCTTCAGTTTTGAAACATAAGTATATTACCCGTAGGGCAGTTCTGCACTGTCTTTTAGGGGTGCTATGAGTCAGAATCGACTCGATGGCAATCGACAAATTCAAAAATTAAACGATTCAGCTTTTTTGTTTCGTTTTCCTCTGTGACGTGTTTTTAAAGCAGGCTTCGTAATGTGGTCTGGAATGTCTGTTGCTATTCTTATTTCAACAGCCATTCGTCCAGAGGTTGGGAGGTTTAAGTGCCAACTAATTAATCCTTGTCACTTACCTCATAGGCCTCTCCTCAAGGTATTTCTGTTTCTCTTATTGCTGCCTCCATCTCCGAGTCACCCAGGGTGAAAACAGATGACATCTCCAATTCCCTCCCATTTTTTTTATTCCTCATTAGTTAGGCAGTCATTCACACTGGCCTGGGCCTTCTGTTCAGCTGTATTTTCCTTTCCGTTTCCACTGCTACATTTATAGTTTCACGCTGTCATTCCTTCACATCTTAACCTTTATTAAAATCACCTAACATGTGACTTTCACACTCCACCTCTTTCTGCTGACCCAACATCCTGTTGTCAAGTTAGTCATCCTAAAAGATGTCTTTCTGATGCCACTCCTCTGCTCAGAAACTTTCAGTGACAACTCAGTGACTCCCAAGTAAAGTGCAAACACCTTAGCCTGGCTTTAAGGCTCAGATGTGGCCCTAGCCTACCATACCTTCACACCTTTTACTATGTTGCATATCCCTCTCTGTATTAAACAGTTCACTATTTTCCAAGCATAGCCTTCACTTTAACTTCCTTAAGTTCATTAAATACATATCTATGGACATCTACCATGTGCCAGGCATAGTTTCAGGTCAGGTCAAGGGGATACACAAGTGAAAAGAAAAGACAAGGTCCCTCCCTCGTGGAGGGCTCATTCATCTTGGCTGCCCTCTCTTCAGTGGTTGAAGTTCTATCCACCCTTAAGGTACAGCTCAGATCCCACTTCTCTGAAGACTGCAGTGATTTCCCTAGCCCAAAGGTTACTCTCTTTCTTCTGAGCTCCCATAATTCTCTATACTTTTATTTTTAAGTGCCAGTTACACCACATTCTGCCTTATATTTTAAGGTGTTTTTTTTTTTTTTCTTAAAAGATTTCTGGACAGCTTGAGGGTAGATATTATATCTTTTTATCTTTATATTCCCATTAATTCCAAGCACAGTATAATATTTGTTTTATATATGAATAAGCAAGTGAACCTGAGATCCAGAGTTACCCCAGGGATCTGTTATAAGCATTTAGCTGTTTTCAGTGGTCTTTTTTCTGAATTCTGATATATAATTTCTAAGCGTTATCGACCCTTATGCAGGTGTTATCATCTGGTCATTTAAGTATACATTTACATTTTTTAATATTCAGGATATTTGGGAAATTTTTAAATGATATGCAACAATAAATGTAATATAATATCCTAATCAAATCTGGTCATTTAATTACAGCATGAACTTAATAGGTTAATTAGTTCAAGAACCAATCACTCTAGCATAGATAGGCTTTATAAACTTACTCTAACACTGTGTTCTTTCCCTTTCCTGGGAAGAATATAATAATAATAACCTGTATATAGCACTTTTACCTGTCAGTGTGTTATAGAAGTTATTTTGGTCTCTAAACAGACCTGTGGAATATATAGGGTAGGTATTGTCCCTATTTTAAATATGATGAAACTAAGGGATGGAGAAATTGCATAACTTGTATGAGGTCAAATAGTTAATTAATGAAAACAATCCAGGCTTCATTAACCTTATGGGCATGATAATTGTGTATTTTTCATTGCTGAAAATAATTATGCATTTCTTTTCCTTAGTGAAAGAAATGATGTTTTAAGAGAAGCTGAAATTTTACACAAAGCCAGATTTAGTTACGTTCTTCCAATTTTGGGAATTTGCAATGAACCTGAATTTTTAGGAATAGTTACTGAGTACATGCCAAATGGATCATTAAATCAGCTCCTACATAGGGTAAGTATTATATGTTTTCAGTGGCTATAATTACCATTTCTGTTATTCAGGCTATATAATACTTTCGTTTTACATTGGATCATATTATTTGGGGACATATAGATAAATCAAAATAAGAATAATTATAAATAATCACAGTGGTAGTTTCACCTTGTAGGATTTTTGTGTTGTTAAAAACACTGTCGAGTCAGGCCCTGTGTTCTAAGAGACCTAAGTTTCTGTCCCTGGGGTTTATACTAAATTCCAGTATCCAGATACATATATACACAAGTAGGAACAGGAGAGAGAAGAAAGACAAAAGGTACACACTACACAATCTACTGTTAATTAAGCCAGATTTTATTGTATATTAAAGACAATTTAGGATTCAAATTAAATGTTACCTATACCTGTTCATAAAATTCTGAATTATCACGCCAAATAAATCTGTCTTGAGTGCCAGATATGTTCATTTTTCCAACAACAGCCAGTGGAATGTGTCATTTACTCATTTTCTCAAGGTACCAGTTACTCTGGCTTCGATTGTGCATCATATCAGTAAACAAGTTGGGGGATCCTTGTCTACAAAATATGTGCATTTATATATTGTTTTCTCCTTGAGCTTCCATTATGAATATTATCTCCAGTCTGCAGTTCTTCTTGAAAAATCTTTTTTAAGTCCCTTGGTGCATTTTGTGAGGGTTGCTTTAGTTAAAACTAGGTAATGTAATCTGTAAAATTCAATTACTGGACACTCCAAAATTATAGTACATCACAGTACTTTGCAAGTGAATGAGGTCATAGTGGGCGCACTGTCAGCCACTCCTGGAGCAGCTTCCTCTTTGCTTCAGGACATCTCCCATTCTATTGATGGCGTGTGACCATCTGAAACAAGGACGGAGTAAAGTAACTAGTGCCAGGCTGTATGGTAAATAGTAATAATGCACAATTTCTTTCCTTTTTTTTTTTTTTTTTTAAATGAATACAGATAGAAATTCTATTGTTTTCCCATGCCCCAGTAAATACTGTGGCACCCCGATTTGGAGCCCACTGAAAGTTCTAGCGTCTCCTCCAAGGGGATTGCTAAATCCTGGAAGGAATCATAAAGTACAGTGTGAGCTTTCCTCTACCCTTGTGTCCAGGATCTAGAGCCTCCACATAACAGTACATGGCAGAGAGACCTGAGTACTCCTTTAAACTGCATAATTTTCAGAAAAGGTTACCTTTTCTACAGATTAAAAGATTCAGTTACCCAAGGGGAAGAAACTTTGTATATGCCAGAGGAAGTAATGTTCAACATTAGTATTTTCTATTCCTGTTGGTTTTCTGTAATTGTATTAAGAGTGGGATTTGTCATGAATCACCCCCACCCACACACCCACACACCCACTCACCCACTCACCCACTCACCCACTCC